TTCTCACCCCCCGACCCTGGCGAACATTCGGTAAAGGGGGGGGGGGGTGAGTGCAGCAGGCCGTCGAGAGGGCTGGATGCGGTGAGGGTGGGGCCTTCTACCCTTCCTTGTAGAGGCGCCCAGAGCTCTGGTGTACTTTCGGGAACCCTGCGGAAGTTTTGGCCGGAGCCCCCAAGCGGGGCCTGTTCGGGCTTTTCTCCCCAGCTGCCCACGTAAGCTTGCTTCCTCGCCCCGCCGCTTTCAGCTGTGAGCGCTCTGAGCCCAGATTACCGTTCCGATACCCGTGCTGAGAAGGAGCCTTGCAACGCCTGGAAGGCAAACAGATTTAAGTTCCTTCCGTGTCTCCTGTTTATCTCTCCTGCGGCAGACAAGCTCTGCTCTCTCTCTCTCCCCTCCCTCCCTCCCCGTTGGAATTTGCGTCCGGATATCAGGATCTGCAGCGGGTGGTCCGAGCGAGCGAGCTCCGGAAGGGAGCTCTGGGGCAGGCTGGATGGAGCCCCTTTCCCGCTTCAGCTTCTGAGAGCTGAGGTAGTTTCTGTTCGGGAGTTGGAGGCGAGATGCAGTCGGGCTGTCTGCTGGAAGGGTCTCGTGTGCTCAGCAGCCCCTCTCTGCTTGGTAGGGCTCGGTTTCCCGGCCAGGATGAGGCCGGTCAGAGCTGCCGTGTTTCGGGGGGGGGTGGGATGCATCAATGATCCATCAATTTAATTAGGCATATAAAGTAGAACGAATTTTCCAAAACAGGTAGAAGTAGAACAAAAACAGGTAGAAATGCACCGGTGAAGTTGAATACCAGCAGACACTCACAAGTGGAGTTTTGCCACACAACTCCACCTGTGAATTTCGACTTGTACTCAACCTCACCCGTGGATTTCTACCTGTTTTTGGAAGATTCGTTCCTCTTTATATGTCTGATTAAATGTATCGATCATTGATGTTAAATTTGGGCACATTGCAATTCCCCCCCCCCCTTTGTTTCGGTACATTGCTGTGCCATTTCGTCTTGTGTTTCACGGGGGCGCGAGAAGCAAGAGAGGCTTGGGGAAGACTTTAGGACTGGAGCCAGTAGTGAAGGTTGGGGTTTTGAACCCTGGCCTCAGATCCCGGGAGATCCACCTCTGACAGTGGTCCCCTCACACAAAAGGGACTCGTGTGATCAGAGGAGAGCTTTCGGAAGGAATAAGCACAAGTGCCCTGCTGGATCAGGCCAGTGGTCCTTCTAGCCCAGGGTTCTGTTGGAGAGAGTGGTCCCAATGGTTGCCCGGGAGGGCCAGCGAACCGGGCACAGAGGCCAAGGCTCCTGTCTCCCAGCACTGGTATCCATAGGCTGGCCCCTTTGCATCGGGACGTTTTCTTCAGTCACCACGGCCAGTAGCCACGGATGAACTTTGCTCCCCGTGGCTCCGTGTGTAACCCCTTTTTAAAGCCATCTGGGCTAGTGGCCATCACTACATCCAGTGGCAGTGAGTTCCACAATTCAGTTACTTGCTGAGTAAGGAAGCCATTCCTTTTGTCTGGTTTGAATCTGTTTCCCAGCATTGGGTGCCCCAAGTTCTAGTACTATGGGAAAGGGAGAAGAAGTTCTCTATCCATTTTTCTCCAACTTTTTTTTAGAAATGATTTTAGAAATGTCAGTTGTCTCCCCCGCTTGTTGTCTTTTTGTCCAAACATAGGAAGGGTGGTCCAGCCCCTCAACCATCTTCATTGCCCTGTTCCAGACTTTTTCCAGCTCCGCAGTGTCCTTTCAAAGATACGATGACCAGAGCTGCACACAGTATTCCGAACGAGATCCCCACCAATGCTTCCTCTAAGCTCGGGAGTCTTGTGAGCAAAATTCTACTTTGTGAGTGACTGGCATTAAAGTTTTGAGCGAGCGATTTGGCTACAGTGTAAATCAGTTTGCTCTGGAGCCCTCCTTCCTGAGCTAAGACAGAAATGTGTGAGCCGGAAGCTAAAAAACTGTGAGCTCGCTCACACCAACTCAGCTTAGAAGGAACATTGATCCCCACCACAGCTCTACAAAAATGCATTACGATATTGGTCCTTTTATTCTCAGTGTCTTTCCTGACAATCCCAAGCACAGAGTTTGCTTTTTCCCCTTCCGCTACAGTGCACACTAAGTTGACGTTTTCATTGAGCTTTCCACTACAACCCCAAGATCTCTTTCCTTCTTAGTTTCAGCCAGTTCAGACCCCGTCAGCAGATAAAGTGAGGATTGTTTGTTCCAACCAGTGTCCCCTCTAAGCTGAGTCAGTGTGAGCTAGCTCACAGTTTTTTAGCCTCCAGCTCACACATTTTTGTCTCAGCTCAGGGAGGAGGGCTCCAGAGCAAACTAATGTACACAGCAGCCAATTCCTGGCTCACCCCTTTCATGCCAGTAGCTCACAAAAGTAGAATTTTTGCTCACAAGACTCCACAGCTTAGAGGGAGCATTCGTTCCAACATGCATTGATTTAAACTCACCGACACGGCACTTTGCTTGCCACATTGTTGGTTGCCCGTTCGCAGGGCTCTTTTTGTAGAAAAGGAACTCATTAGCATAATAGGCCACACCCAACAGCAGAAACTCATTAGGATTGGATACATTAGGGGGGTGTGGCCTAATGTGCCAGGGTCTTGTGAGCAAAAATTCTACTTTTGTGAGCTACTGGCATGAAAGGGGTGAGCCAGGAATTGGCTGCTGTGTACATTAGTTTGCTCTGGAGCCCTCCTCCCTGAGCTGAGACAAAAATGTGTGAGCTGGAGGCTAAAAAACTGTGAGCTAGCTCACAGTTTTTTAGCCTCCAGCTCACACATTTTTGTCTCAGCTCAGGGAGGAGGGCTCCAGAGCAAACTAATGTACACAGCAGCCAATTCCTGGCTCACCCCTTTCATGCCAGTAGCTCACAAAAGTAGAATTTTTGCTCACAAGACTCCACAGCTTAGAGGGAGCATTCGTTCCAACATGCATTGATTTAAACTCACCGACACGGCCCTTTGGTTGCCACATTGTTGGTTGCCTGTGTTCGTAATGAAGAGAGACCGCTCTCCTCCCTTGCACTTCAGCTTCCTCCTCCTCTTCTTTTTCTTTTGTGTGTGTGTGTGTGTGTGAATGAGAGAGAGAGCGCAACTGGAAGTCATGGCAACCTCTGGTGACGGACTGTGTGTGCCCCTGAAAGTTGTGGCAACCTTCGGTGACTGACCCCTGCTGGGAGGCTATTCAGAGACAGGTGTCTGAATAAAGCCTGCCCCCACCTCCCGACTGCTGGTATTCCTTAGAGGTCTCCCATCCAAATACCTGCCAGAGTCGACCCTGTTTAGCTTCCAAGATCTGATGAGATCAGGCTCAGGCGGCATCCTCATCCTGTCTGGCTCCACCCGTTAAGGGTGTTGTCGTGCCCACTGCCCTGTATCAGAGTTCCAGAAGTGCCCAGGGGTTCAAAAAGGTTGGGGATCTCTGCTCTAGACCATGGATAATGTCCCCCCCCCCCTTCCTCCTCATCCCCCAACCTGACAAGCCCCAAGAACTTTCGCCTTTGCATGTTGGGAAGCTTTTGGTGGAGATGAAGATGGAAGAGAAGAGACCGGAGGGGCAGCCAAGAGGTGGTATCACATGGTTGCTCTGGGAGGAAGGGCCAGTGGGGGGGACACACAAAGCAGATTGGGTGTTCTCAGTACCCCCCCTTTCTCAGCTAAGTAGGATTTGAGAGGGAGCATGGCATAGTGGAGAGAAGAAGAGGAGGAGATTGGATTTATACCCCTGCCCTTCACTCCCCAAGGGAGTCTCAGAGCAGCTTACAAACTCCTTCCCCTTCTCACAACAGACACCCTGTGAGGTGGGTGGGGCTGAGAGAGCTCTGACAGAAACTGCTCTTTTTCAAGAGCAGCTCTGACAGAACTACGGCTTGCCCAAGATCATCCAGCAGGTGCGAGAGGAGGAGTGGGGAACCAAACCCGGTTCTCCCAGATTAGAGTCCGCGCACTTAACCACGACACCAAACTGGCATGGGAAGCAGCCAGGTACTGCTCACCTTCACGCCAGGGCAGGATCCCCCCCTCCCCTTCCTCGAAGGCCCCAAATGCCTTTCGGCCTCCCTCCCCCCATTTCTCAGCCCGGGGGATGGAGAAGGCCCCCCCCGAGCCTCCCCCACCTCAAACGGACTCTGCTGAATGTCCCCCATTTTCCCCCATTCTTCTCCAAAGTCTGGCTCACCACGCAGAACCACAGCACCCTGGTGACAGAGCGCAGCGCCGTGCCCTTCCTGCCGGTGAACCCCGAATACTCCGCGACACGCAATCAGGTAAGAGGGGGCGCTGCCTCCCCACTGGCCAGCTGCCTGTTTCTGAGCAGCCGGGAAGGGGAGGGGAGCCACACTGGAGTGAGAGGGAGGGTGATGCTCCGAGACGCTGATCATCAGGAGTGCCATTATCAGGGGTCATTAGCATAACTCATTAGCATAACTTATTTGCATATGCCACACCCCCTGACATCACCGGAAGTGTGTCAGAAGGCAACACCCACCGCTCAGGCTCCACTAGACTGTTTTGGATTGCCAGCTATTGGGGGGGACGGGGGCGTGCAGAGCTTGTACCTGAATAAAACTTGGTCTTAAAGGTGTCACTGGACTGTTTTGGGCCGGGGGGCCGGGGGAGGCTCTGCAGCTTACCTGGCTGCTTCTTGCTCTGACTGAGGGCTGCTGGGAGCAGGGGGTGGGGCTTGTTGCATGTGCCCACCCCCTGGGCTCTTTACTGCCGGAGCTCCGCTCCCGTGCGCTCCTGCAGGAAATGACCCCTGGCCATTATAGAGGGCGGAAGCTTGACTTTGGGAATCCAAGAGGAACCCCAATGCTTCTGTCCCACGCCGTTTGTCTTCTCTCCTCTAGGGACGGCAGAAGCTTGCCCGTTTTAACGCCCGGGAATTTGCCACCCTGATCATCGATATCCTGAGCGAGGCGAAACGCCGGCAGCAGGGCAAAGCCTTGGTCAGCCCTACAGGTAAGGGGAGGGAGGGGGAGGCTCTTTGGTGGGGGGGCGGGACTTCCTGCCAACGTCACTCCCGCCCTTTAAGGCCCGAAACGGTCAGGGACCAACATGCCTGGAAGACCTCCTCTCCTGGTATGTCCCCCAGAGAGCACTGCGCTTAGGAGAACAGCATTTGCTGGAAGTTCCTGGCCCAAAGAGTGTCCCGCTGCCCTCAAGCAGAATCAGGGCCTTCTCTGCCCTGGCTCCAATTTGGTGGCACTCTCTGCCGAATAACTTCAGGGCCCTGCGGGACCTGTTACAGTTCCGCAGGGCCTGTAATGCAGAGATGTTCTGCCAAGCATATGGTTGAGGACGGCAACGGGGTTTTAAGAGCAAATTGGCCACCTGACACAGTTTGGTGTCGTGGTGAAGCCCAGACTCTAATCTGGGAGAAGCCCAGACTCTAATCTGGGAGAACCGGGTTTGATTCCCCACTCCTCCACTTGCACCTGGCTGGATGACCTTGGGCAAGCCGTAGTTCTGATAAGAGCTGTTCTCGAAAAAGAGCAGTTTCTGTCAAGAGCTCTCTCAGCCCCGCCTACCTCACAGGGTGGCTGTTGTGGGGAGCTGAAGGGAAAGGAGATGGTAAGCCGCTTTGAGACACCTTTGGGTAGTGAAGGGCGGGGTATAAATCCAATCTCCTCCTCCTCCCTCACCTTCCTCCCCTGCCAACAGGGTGCAGATTTATAATATGATGCCAGATAGATCTATACTCTGTATATTAATTGTTGTTTTTAAAACCTTTGTATTTATTTGTAGGTATAAACTGATGAATTGTTTTCACCGCTTTGAGCCTGCTTTGCAGGGAGGGCGGTATAAAAGTTTAATAAATAATAGTAACAGTCTCCCCCTTTCTCCCACGGCTCAGAGACTCTAGACTCCGCTCTGCACGGCCCCAGCGACATCGACGACCAACACGACTACGACAGCGTCGCCTCAGACGAAGACCCCGACCAGGAGCCCCTGCGAGGTGGCAACGCTGCTCGCAACAACCGGGCCCGGGTGAGCACGGCAGGGACTAGTGGGGTGGGAAGAAGAAGGGGCGAGAGCCATTGGAATTTACATGTGGAATTGGTTGCCACAGGAAGTGCTGATAGCTACAAACCCAGACAACTTCAAGAGGGCATTGGATAAATATGGAGCAGAGGTCCATCAGTGGCTATTAGCTATGAGGTACAGATCGAACACTCTATCTAGGGCAGTGATCCTCTGTATTCTTGGTAGTTGGGGGGGGCAACAATGGGAGGGCTCCTGGCCCTGCTGATGGACCACCTGATGGCACCTGGGTTTTGGCCACTGTGTGACACAGTGTTGGATTGGATGGGCCATTGGCCTGATCCAACATGGCTTCTCTTATGTTCTTATGGCCCCGTTGGTGGATCTCCTGATAGCACCTGGGTTTTGGCCACTGTGTGACACAGTGTTGGACTGGATGGGCCATCGGCCTGATCCAACATGTCTTCTTTTATGTTCTTATGGCCCCATTGGTGGACCTCCTGATGGCCCCTGGGTTTTGGCCACTGTGTGACACAGTGTTGGACTGGATGGGCCATCGGCCTGATCCAACATGTCTTCTTTTATGTTCTTATGGCCCCATTGGTGGACCTCCTGATGGCCCCTGGGTTTTGGCCACTGTGTGACACAGTGTTGGACTGGATGGGCCATCGGCCTGATCCAACATGTCTTCTTTTATGTTCTTATGGCCCCATTGGTGGACCTCCTGATGGCCCCTGGGTTTTGGCCACTGTGTGACACAGTGTTGGACTGGATGGGCCATCGGCCTGATCCAACATGTCTTCTTTTATGTTCTTATGGCCCCATTGGTGGACCTCCTGATGGCCCCTGGGTTTTGGCCACTGTGTGACACAGTGTTGGACTGGATGGGCCATCGGCCTGATCCAACACAGCTTCTCTTATGTTCTTATCAGCAGCTGTCCCAGTTGCTCTTCTCCTTGGAGTGCTGGAGCCCAAATGTCGGTCAGTAATTTGGATAAGTTGGGAGAAGAGCAGAGTTCAAAATCTGCTTCGTTCCATTTGAGATTTGTTTCTGCCTGCTGAGAAGCAAACCCAAGTCATTATTTGCACACCCATTTATCTTTCCTTGCTTTCAGTATTTCCTGTAAGCTGACACAATGTAGGGAGGGGGCCATGGCTCAGTGGTAGAGCATCTGCTTGGCATGCAGAAGGTCCCAGGTTCAATCCCCGGCATCTCCAGTTAAAAGGATCAGATGGTGGGTGCTGTGAAAGACCTCTTGCCTGAGACCGTGAAGAGCGGCTGCCAATCTAAGTAGACAGTATGGACCTTGATCGACCAATGATTTGATTCAGTGTAAGGAGCTGCGGTGGCTCAAGTGGTTAAGACGCTGAACTGCAGGCTGTGGAAGGTCAGTAGTTCAGCAGTTCGAGACCCGAGTGTGCCGCATGATGGAGTGAGCTCCCATCTCTAGTTCCAGCTCCTGCCAACCTAGCCGTTCGAAAGCAAGAAATTACAAGTAGATAAATAGGTACCACTTCGGTGGGAAGGGAACAGCGTTCCGTGCGCCTTGGTGTTTAGTCATGCCGGCCACATGGCCACGGAAACATCTTCGGACAGCGCTGGCTCTTCGGCTTTGAAACGGAGATGAGCACCGCAACCCTAGAGTCGGATTCGTCTGGCTTTCGAGCAAGGGAACCTTTACCTTTAAGGCAGCTTCAGGCGTCTTCACCAGCAACAGGAATGAGGCACATGGATATTTGTGGCCATGCGGCCTATTCCCCATTCTTTGGTCTCCCCAGGCTATGGCTTGCAAGCTCATCTGCCTCTGGCCCACTGGTTTGGTGGTAGGGTTGCCAAGTCAAAAGAACTCACCGGCGGGGGAGCCTCGCTGGGCTCCAGGAGCTGTCCCCGGATGCGCGCGTAGCGCGCGTGCAGGCTGCCAGCACATCACTGGAAGTGACGTGCGACGTCGACCACGTTGAGGGCGTGGCCCCGATCGTCGGAGGGAAAACCATAGAGTTTTCCCTCTGACGATCCGGGCCACGCCCCCAACGTGGTCGACGTGGTTGCGTCACCTCCGGGGACGCAGCCACGCTGCGCTTTGGGGGGCGAAGTTGCCCCTGGGGCCCAATTCTGCGGTGGCGGAAATCGAGCCTCCAAAGCGGGAGTTTACCCGCCACCCGCCCCCACTTGGCAGCCGTATTTGGTGGTGTTGAAGCGTTCCAATGCCCTTTGCCAGCCCCGGAGCAGTGGAGCAGTGGAAGTGTTTGTGAGCATTCCAGAGCGCCCCTGCCTCCGTTCAGTGGGACAGAGGGGGCTGTAGCCCCCCCATCTCTGCAATGGCTCCCCGGATGCCCTCGTCTCACACAGTTCCTTCTCTCCTCCCTCACCCCAAAAAGAGCATGGACTCTTCCGACCTTTCCGATGGGCCCATCACGCTGCAGGAGTACCTGGAGGTGAAGAAGGCCCTGGCTGCCTCCGAAGCCAAAGTGCAGCAGCTCATGAAAGTGAACAACAGCCTGAGTGATGAACTGCGGAGGCTGCAGAGAGAGGTGAGCCGGGGGGGGTGGGGGCGTTTTAAAACTTTTTGTTTGTACCCTTGGATGACACTCGTTTCTCCGGGTTGGGGGGGGGGGTTAAATTGCAGTGTTGAAAACCTCCCCATGGCCCAGGCTGGCTTCTCTGGGGCACCCTTTGCAGTCGGAGGGGCCTTGTCCCGAGAAGACACAAGCAGCGTTCCCTCTAAGCTGAGTTAGTGAGAGCCAGCTCACGGTTTTTTTAGCCTCCGGCTCACACATTGTTGTCTCCGCTCAGGAAGGGAGGGCTCCAGAGCAAACGGCTCGCTCACCGCTTTAATGCCGGTAGCTCACCAAGTGGAATTTTTGCTCACAAGACCCCCTAGCTTAGAGGGAGCGTTGGTCTCAAGGGGTAGCATGGCTCGGAGGTGCAGGTGTCGGAGGCAGTGAGAGTGTGAGGGCGCTCTCTTCATTTCTCTGCTTCCGTTCTTCCTTTGGGTAAACCCTAACCGGGATGGCCCAGGCGAGCCCAGTCTCGTCAGGCCCTGGAAACTAAGCAGGGTCAGTCCCGGCTACCAGTTGGATGGGTGTCAGAACCCACAGCTTACAACGAAGTACACGCATTCAGGAACGGTTATACTTTTATTGCAAAGCTATAGATGCAGTAACACAGGCACTGTTAAGAATGGCGGCAACCCATTGAGCATAATAGGATATAGGGCATTCGTATGCACGCACACACACACCCCATGGCATGGGCCAATTAGCTACCCTCCCGCGCGCGGGACCAGCTAGGAAACCGTTAGGTGGCGAAAGCTGGGAAGCAGTAGTCTCTCACGGTACACAGGAGACTTCCAGACAACACAACCTCCTCCTGCACATCTGTAGAGATAAGCGTTGCGGCACAGGCAAAACAGCAGAGACAGGAATGCAATAGCAATTACCAAGACACAGAACGAACTCCCCCACCCCCATGGCAGCATAGCTGACAATGGGAGACCACTGAGGAAGTCCAGGAGGCAGGCCATGGCCAACCACCTCTGAAGGCCTCTTGCCCTGACTGGGATAGCCCTGGTTAGCCCGATTTCATCCGGTCTCAGAAGCTAAGAAGCGTTGGCCCTGGACGGAAGATCACAAAGGAAACCCAGGGTTGTGACACAGAGGCAGGCAATGGCCAGCCACCTCTGCTCCTCTCTTGCCCTGGAAACCCTGTGGGGTCCCCATAAGTCAGCGGCACTCGACGGCACTTTATGCACACTGTCATGGCTCAGGTGGGGTGTCGCCTGACGCTGCCACCACTCTGGTTCCAGGCTCCTCTGAGAAGGCCCAGAGCACCTTCCCAGGCCTTTAGACCTCCCTTTTGGCCGAATAATAGCCCAGATCACGACACACACATTTTATCGGGTGCTTTGAGCTGAAAGGGGATGTGTGCAGCGTTCCCTCTAAGCTGAGTTGGGCGTGTGCCAGCTCACTGTTTTTTAGTCCCCGACTCGCACATTTTTGTCTCTGCTCAGGAAGGGACGGCTCCAGAGCAAGCTAAAGGATGCAGCAGCCCAACTGCTCGCTCACAACTTTAATGCCAGTCGCTCACAGAGTAGAACCTTCTGCTCATGAGACTCCACGGCTCAGAGGGAGTGTTGGGTGTGTGTGTGTGTGTGTGTGTGTGTGTGTGTGTGTGTGTTTTCACGAGCCAGGCTGCGCCCTGGGGTCGCTTCCATTTGTGGGTGTCGGCCCTTCCTTCCTAGAGGGGTTAGGCTGGCTGCCACTCTATCATGCTTTGTGTCGGCCCGTCGTCCTCCGGTGTGGGTTGTGTTTTGGGTGCTTGCTTGTTGATTTTTCGCTGCCACTTGCAGAGAAGTCGCTCCCAAACTCGACTGCTTGTAAAAAAAAAAAAAAAGATTAACGGAAGACTCCTGTAAGCCCCAAAAGGTGACCTGATAAAATACCGCTTCCTACAACACATAATTAACTTGGTGGAATTGTCTGCCACAAGATGCGATGATAACTACTAGCTGCGATGGCTTTAAAAGGGAATGAGGAGGAGGGGTCCCTCAGGAGCCGGGACAGTTAAATAGAACCTCTGTGATTAGAGGCAGGCTGTGTCTGAATGCCTTTTGCAGGTGGGGCAGCGACAGGGAGGCTTTGGCGTCCATTTCTCTGCTGCAAGAAATGGGATGCTTGACCAGATGTCCCAGTTTGGTGTCGTTTGGTCTACACCCAGTGTGGTCTAATCTGGGAGAACTGTATTTGATTCCCCACTTCTCCACATGAAGCCAGCTGGGTGACCTTCGGTCAGTCACAGTTCTCTCGGAGCTGTTCTCTCACGAGCAGTTCTCAAAAGAGCTCTCTCAGCCCCACCTACCTCACAAGGGTGTCTGTTGTGGGGAGGGGAAGGGAGATTGTCAGCTGCTCTGAGACTCCGAGTGAAGTGGGGGGTTATAAATCCAATCTCTTCTTCTTAGTCTTGATCTTGCAGGGCTCACCCTTGAGAGAAGGGATTCTGGTGCTTATCTTCATCACAGTGTGGAGCATACCTCCAGAGGAGGGTGTCCGTTGTTTCTCTGCTTGAGTCACCACTGTAGGCTTGCAACTTTCCAGTTGGGAGGTGTGTCCTGAGCACTGGCTGACATACAGAGGGAAGAGGCTCTGTTCGTTCTTTTCAGACAACAGCAGCGTTAGATCAGGGGGGAAAATGGTGCATCATAGTGTGAGAAAGTTTGGAAGCGCTGGTCCAACAGCACTGTGTGTGCGTCTCAGGACTCTACCTAAAATCTACCTAATAACTGCTGGAAGTGTAGGCAAAAGGGAGGGTAGTTGTGAAAAAACTAAAAGATACTGGCACGAGATATATGATATTCTTACACAAATAATAGGTAAACAAGTACCATTGATACTGGAAATATTCCTATTAAATATTTTGCCTGACAACCTACAAAAATTAGATAAGTATCAGACTGTACATGTATTAACTGTTGCAAGAATTACCTTCGCAAAAATGTGGAAACAGGAAAAGGTACCTTCAGCGCAAGACTTTATAAACGACCTTATGGAAGTTATTGAACTAGATAACTTAACTTTGAAATTACGAGGAAGAATCTATTTTCTTTAAAACTTGGTCAAGTGTTTATAAATGGCTGGAGAATTATATAACATGAATGTTCCCCATATTTTTACATATGTAGTTCTCTAGCCGAAATGAGTTCTTTTATTGACTCTTGTTAAACTTAAGGGAAAGGTAGAGTTCCGAGGAGTTTGGGGAGCGGTTTCAATGTAGTGGTGTGTGTATATGTTGCTGTTGTGTGGTTTTTTCCCCTTTCTTTTCTTCCTTTTGATATTGGTGTTTGAAACAAAATAAAAATAAATAAATAAATAAAGGACTCCTTGAGTTCCGTTCGTTGACGTTTCGACCGCATGTGGATCTCCGATGTGCTGTGTGAGCTCAGGGACTGTCCAAGGGCATGCTGGGAAAGACCCTCCCTGCCCAGAGAGGATGTGAGGAAGGCCATGCGAGGCAGACCAGGGTGAGGGCGGTCTGGGAGGGATGCCAGTGGAGAGCCTCTGGCCATCCCACGCTGGAAGCCGAGTGCCGGGGCAGGTGGCCTTGGGCTCTGCCGCTGATGCTCCCGCACCGCCGTTCCAGATCCACAAGCTGCAGTCGGAGAACATGCAGATCCGCCAGCAGGCGGGACAGGCACACCCGGCGGCACCCCCACAGAGCGAGCGCCCGGAGCACAGCCACGTCGCTTCCCCTGCCGCCGGACCCCATCGCCGTGACCGCCACGCGTTCTCCATGTACGAGCCGGGCACTGGCGCACTGAAGCCCTTTGGGCAGCAGCCGGTGGACGACTTGGTGACCCGCCTGCAGCCGTTTCACCCCGGAGTGAGTGTTGGCCAGCGCGCACACCCTGTATGTTTTGTTATGCTCGTGTGAGCCGTGAGATGGTTCCTCGGGGGAACAGGCTTCCTAGGAGGCGGTGGGCTCTCCTTCTCTGGGGGCTAGATGGCCGTCTGAGAGCAGTGCCGATCCTGTGGATTCAGGCAGATCACGAGAGGGAGGGCGGGGAGAGGCGAGCCGGTGCTCGGTTCTCGTGGCCCTTTTCTTACATGCCCAGGGCAATGCTGAGCACCACTTTGGGGGTCAGGAAGGCATTTTCCTCCAGGCCAGACTGGCCCAGGGATCCTGGAGGTTTTTGGCCTTCCTCTGGGCATAGAGCAGGTGTCACTGGGGGAGTGGGGGGAGGAGGTAGTGGTGAATTTCCTGCTTTGTGCAGGGGGTTGGACTAGATGACCCTTGGGGCCCCCTTCCAGCTCTCTGGTTTCTGTGTTTCTATGAATATTGGGAAGGGTCTCTGGGGAGCCGGAAGGGGGAGAGGGGGTAACACAGAAGGCAAATAATGAGAAAGGAGCACTGAAGAGCCCCAGCCGATACGCATCATGCTTCTGTTGTGGGGAGGGATATCCCTCTAGGGGGACTACGGGACTGTCCGGATGGGGAGATTCGGCAACCGAACTGTAACAGGAAGAATTCGGCCCAGGGGAACGGAAAGCGGGGTAGGATTCAGGGAAGGGAAGAGAGAAGCAAAGCGAACACCGGGGAGGTTTCGAGTCCGAATGGATTGTTGCGAAGGCTGAAAGCATTGTGCCTTCGGAGGAGGAGAAGGAGGGAATAGGAAGGGAGAGGGAAGCTTTTGCTCACTTTCTGTTCCTCTGCCCCCCCCCCAGGAAGTGGACGACGAGGCCATGTATTCTGTGCACAATCCGCCTGGGATGTACCGGGTGAGCAGAGTCTCTGTGTGGGTGGCGGGGAGAAGCCGTTGCCTGTAAGTGGCGACCCACCTCCCTGGCTCGTGCCGATGGTTTCCCAGCATGTGGGAGACCCTCTCTCCTCCACCTCTGGGTTCTCGTGTGTGTCTGTCGGTTGGGGTCCGGTCTGACGCCTTCCCTTTGCTGTTTCAGGTCCGGAAGGGGGGCTCTGTCTCGTCGATGCCTTTTCCTCCCTCTTCTCCGCTCCTGTCGTGCCAACCGGACAGCGGACGTCACATGGTGAGTGGGCGTGTTCTGCCGAGGAGGCTGGTGGCAAAAGGGGGGAGGGAGCCGCGTCCACTCTGGCCTGTGGTGATCCGGCTCCTGCGCTGCCCGAGAGGGACAGGCTGTTTTTGTCTCTTGATCCCCTGGCAGCCTGGATAGGAGAGTTCACTGTCGGCCTTCACTCACAGAAAAGGAAAGGGGACAGAGTGGGGCTCACCGGTTTCCCGCTGTCCTCCTCCCGAACCCAAACTGCAAACCTAAAGAAATCAAAGGTTCCCGAGAGCTCTAAGTGCCCTTCCAGGGAGGAGGCTGCCTGGTGTGGGCCTGCATGAGTCTGTGCTGCAGTTCAGGAGGCTCACTCAGAACATGGGCTTATATACGAAAGCGCATGAGGTGCGCACCTCTGGAGGCAGCTAATCCTTGAACACTTAAAGCTTTGTTTTCAGGGTTTGTGGCAGGGGGGCATGCTGGTAATTCTGTTTGGTGGGCAGGAAATGCCTTCTGAGCATCAGAAATGCTCTAAACCCAGAAACTGTGTGTCGGGGGGGGGGGGACTGTTTGGTAGGCCATTCCTAGGACTGATCTCTAGCCATGAAGGCGAGATGCTTCCTCCCTTGCCCGACCTGACTCTGCCCCGTTTCCCTCCTCCTAGTCTGGGAAACTGGACCGCCATGGCAGTGGTACGGACAGCGACTACGACAATACGCAGGGAGGGGATCTGCCGCTCAGGTGAGGAGCACTTACAGCTGTGGCTCAGCGGAAGAGCCTCTGCTTGGCATGCAGAAGGTCCCAGGTTCAGTCCTTGGCATCTCCAGGTAAAAGGACCAGGCCCACAGGTGATGTGAAAGACCTCCACCTGAGACCTGGGAGAGCCTTGGTGGACTGTTGGTGTGATTCAGTATAAAGCAGTTTCTTGTATGTTCACGTATGGCGGGGGTGGGAGAGGAAGACCATCCTCTTGCCGTTGGTTCAGACTAGCTTTTGGGTGGGAGGGGACGCTTTGCACCTGTGGGTGGGACTTAGCTGTTCAGGACGGGCAGGGCCAAAAGCTTGCTTTGAGAATCAAGAGCAGGCTTCTCTTTGCTTGTGTGACAGGGCCCAGCTCTCCACCAGGGAATGGGGCCTTCTCACCAGGTAACTTGGCATGACTTCTGCTTTTGGCACCATTAGCCCTGGGTCCTCAAGGGAGGGGCCTAGGAGCTCAGCAGAGCCCCAAAGTCCCGCCCCTGTGGCCACGCTCTTTGGCAGGGGTGTCGAACTCGTTTGTTATGAGGACCGGATCTGACATAAATGAGACCTTGTCAGGCCGGGCCACGTGTGTCATAAAATGTAATGCCAGGTAGCGGAGATATAAACTTTATAAAGGACACAAACACAAAGGTGTTTTTTTTTTACTTAAAATAAAAACATGCTTAAAACATTAGCTCTGTAAGCTGCAAACCGACTTTTGATTTATTGACATTCACCACAGAAATCTCATGCTCAGAGTTCTGAGTCTCAGGTTAAAACATGAAATGGCTGAGTGATTAAGAGAGCCTGGCGAAGCAAGCCATGACGCAGCAGCAGACCTGGAAGCAGGAGATGGCCAGTTCCACTGTGGGCCTGATGGGAGCCCTCCAGGGGCCTGGTCTGGCCCTCGGGCCGCATGTTTGACACCCCTGCTCTTTGGCATCTGGCCACAAGGCCTAGGAATATCCTTTGCTTAAACAACAGGTGTGATTCTCTGAGCAGGTGCCCATTTTTGTGCTCGGACGGTTGCAGTTGGTGAGGCTGAAGGGGTGCGGGGATGCAGGCGGGCAGCGCCAGCTCTCCCGGTAACACCTCTGCCGGCCTTCTCCCCTTTCCTAGCATGGACGGGAAGCGCTTCTTAGACCTGGGCAAGGATGACGATCTGCACCCTGAACCGGAGCCCCTGGAGGGGGACCTGGACCCGGGGCTGCCCAGCACGGAGGACGTCATCCTCAAGACCGAGCAAGTCACCAAGAACATCCAGGAGCTGCTCCGAGCCGCCCAGGAGTTCAAGCACGACAGGTCTGGATGGATCCCTCCTGGCACCACGTCCGGGTTCGGGAGCTTTGTGGGGAGTGGGGTGGCACTGGTAACCAAGGAATACTTTTTGGGTTGGGCCCGTGCAGGGAATGGTGGCCCAGCCAGGGGCAGGGTCAGGATGATGCCCACAATGATCAGTTGCTGAAAAGGGGGCAGAGGGCATCAGCTGCTGAGCTGCAGCCTGGAAGAATTTGGGTTTTGTGCCTGCTCCATTGTCACACAAGTCACACTCCTAGTCTTCTAGACAGGGCAGAGGGGAGAAAAGGTACAGAATTTCCTTAACCAGGATTTAAATTTCCTTATGGTTTCCAAGGGGCTGCAGTGGCTCAAGTGGTTAGGATGCTGAACTGCAGGCTGTGGAAGGTCAGTAGTTCAGCAGTTCGAGACCCGGGTGTCGCATGACGGAGTGAGCGCCCGTCTCTAGTTCCAGCTCCTGCCAACCTAGCAGTTTGAAAGCAAGAAATTGCAAGGAGATAAATAGGTACCACTTCGGTGGGAAGGGAACAGCGTTCCGTGCGCCTTGGTGTTTAGTCATGCCGGCCACATTACCACGGAAACGTCTCTGGGCAGCGCTGGCTCTTCGGCTTGGAAACGGAGATGAGCACCACATCCCTAGAGTTGGATTCGACTGGCTTTAGAGCAAGGGAAACCTTTACCTTTACCTATGGTTTCCAAAGGAGTAATGAACACGTGGAATTCAGTGCTGCAGGAGGTGGCGGCGGCTACAAGCATGGACAGCTTCAAGATGGAATTAGATAAGCATATAGAGCAGAGGTCCATCAGTGGCTATTAGCCACAAGGTCTAGATGGAACACTCTCTCTGGGGCAAGGGATGCTCTGTATTCTTGGTGCTGGGGGGGGGGCAAGAGTGGGAGGGCTCCTAGTGTCCTGATGTCAGGTTCCACAGCCAACAACGGAGTACACGCTTATCAGAAAGGTTATACTTTATTGAAGAGCTATAGATGCAGTAACAGAAACACTGTTAAGAATGGCATCGCCCCTACAAGCATAATGGGATATAGGGCATTCGTATGCACACACACACCCCTTCCATAGGCCAATTAGCCATATTCCCGTGCGCGGGAGAAGGAGCCCCAGACCGTTAGAGCCGAGCTGGGAACCGATAGCGCTCCCGCGGTTTTCCCTGAGCCCCAGACACTACACCACCTGCATATCTTAGAGATCAGGGGTCATTTCCTGCAGGAGCGCACAGGAGCGGAGCCGGCAGTAAAGAGCCCAGGGGGCGGGCACATGCAACGAGCCCCACCCCCTGCTCCCAGCAGCCCTCAGTCAGAGCAAGAAGCAGCCAGGTAAATTGCAGAGCCCCCTCCCGGCCCCCGGCCCAAAACAGTCCAGTGGCACCTTTAAGACCAAGTTTTATTCATGTACAAGCTCTCCCTCCTCTGCGAGGACAGATCTGCACGTCCCCAAATAGCTGGCAATCCAAAACAGCCCAGTGGAGCCTGAGTGGTGGGTGTTGCCTTCTGACACATTTCCGGTGATGCCAGGGGGTGTGGCATATGCAAATAAATTATGCGAATGAGCTCCTGCACTCCTTTTTTTACGAAATGACCCCTGTTAGAGATAACAGCGTCACAGCAGAGATGAAGCACAGAAGGGATGCAGCAGTAATTAGTATACAGAGAAGGGAAGCCTCTGGCCTCCTGGACTATCATGGCAGCATAGCTGACACCTGGCCCCACTGCTGGACCCCCTGATGGCACCTGGTATTTCTGGCCACTGTGTGACACAGAGTGTTGGACTGGATGGGCCGTCGGCCTGATCCAGCATTGGCTTCTTTTCTGTTCTTATGAACAGAGTTCTCAGAGGAGGTTGTCCGTCCTCTCTGGACGAGTTGCCGCTCTGAGCACGTTTCCTCGAAGTCCAGAGCAGTGCAGGGTTTGGTTGCTTTCGGTGGAAGAAGGACCTCTTGACTCTTGACTCCTGCGTTGCCGCAGGCTCTCATTCTCTCTCTCTGACCCTAGCAGCTTCGTCCCCTGTTCGGAGAAAATCCACACGGCCGTCACGGAGATGGCGTCGCTTTTCCCCAAGGTAGGCAAGAGGGGGGGGCGTGGTTGGCTTGCGGGGGCCCCAAAGGCTTTCTGCGTGGGGCGGGATCCTGCTTCAGTTCAGCTTCTGACTACGGGGCCGTTTCCTGTCTTAGCTGGAGGAAGAGCCAAGTAAGATGGAGGGGAGGGCCCGGGGCACGGAGGGAGACCGCCCACTTGGAGCGCCTCGGATTAAGCCTGCCAGCGTATCAGTAGGGCCCAGTCCCTCCAGCAGGGCCTGGTGAGGCATAGAGGAGCCCCCGAGGGTCCTGGCTCCTGGGGGGGGGGTTGTTTCCACATGCCTGCTGTTGACTGTCTGTCCCGTGTCCTGATTCAGTGCGCATCCAGTGTGCCACCAGAGAGGAGGCAGGTTTCTTTGGATTATGAAGTGCAATCATAGCAAGTTGTGCTGGGAAGTCAGTGAGAGCCCGTTGGGTGTAGTGTGGTTAAGAGCGGCGGCCTCTAATCTGGGGGACCGGGTTTGAAGGTGAAGAAGAAGAAGAGGAGATTGGATGTATACTCGGAGTCCCAGAGCGGCTTACAAACTCCTCTCCCTCCCCCTCCCCACAACAGACACCCTGTGAGGTAGGTGGGGCTGAGAGAGCTCTTGACAGAAACCTAAGAACAGCTCTTATCAGAACTATGGCTTGCCCAGGGTCATCCAGCAGGTGCAAGTGGAGGAGTGGGGAATCAAACCCGGTTCTCCCAGATTAGCGTCTGCACACTTAACCACTACACCAAACTGGCTCTCTCCAGTCTGATTCCTCACTCCTCCACAGGCAGGCGGCTAGGTGACCTTGGGCCAGTCACAAGTTCTTTCAGAGCTGTTTTCTCAAGCGCGGTTCTCAAAAGAGCTCTCTCAGCCCCACCTCCCTCACAGGGTGTCTGTTGTGGGGAGAGGAGGAAGGGAAGGCGATTGTAGGCCACTCTGAGTGAAGGGCGGGGTATAAATCCAACCCTCCTCCTCCTTCTGCTCCTCCTTCTCCTCATATAGAGCAGGGGTCCCCAGCACCTTTCCTAGCACCTACCTGGTGCTTTTCAGAAAGTAGCCGGGGCCAGGTGTGGCTTTTCCCCAACAGGGCTCCTGACCGGCCGTTCAGATTAAAAATTAGAAGACATCCTGTTCGACATCTCAGGCAAAAAAAACCTCCGTTCGAGAGCTGCTGTTCAACTTCTGTACCGCCTTGATCCCTGACATCTTGTGGCCGGCTGGCTCTTGCTCCTGCCGCAGCCGTTCTTGTGGCTGTGCCGGCCAGCCTTTGTCAGAATCCCACAGGTGTCCGTTGGCTCAAAAAATTGAGGGACCCCATAGCGTGTTACGTAGGGCTTGAGGCTGTGTAGGCCGAAGATCCAGCCCAACCGGAGGAGTGGTCTCTTTGCTCCGAAGGTGGATCTGAACCCTGCAGTACACGCAAGTCGCTTTTCAGGAGTAAGGGTTGTTTTTAAAAACGGAACTCTGAAGCAACAATATATTTGCTGGCTGCAGGCGCAGGGCTAATTTTGGGCAGGAACGCACAGGAACGGAGTTCCGGCTGGCTCCTGAGTTGGCCACACCCAGCAGGAACTCATTAGCATAATAGGCCGCACCCAACAGCAGAAACTCATTAGAATTGGCTACATTAGGGGTGTGTGGCCTAACATGCAAAGGAGTTCCTGCTACAAAAAAAACCTCTGGGTTTTGACAACAAAGTAAACAGAATAAGAAGCAAAAGGTGGGTGTGGCTGGATATCCACACTTCTGGTAACATGGGGGTGCAGCCTAATGTGCTAATATGCTGTGCTGTCAAGGGTGTGGCCTAATATGCTAATGAGTTCCTGCTGGGCTTTTTTTACAAAAAAAGACCTGTGCAGGCGGTTTAATTCTAGGGCAGACTAACACTGGGGGAGAGAGGGTTTTTGCAGGGCTGGGGCTGATGTGGTCTTCTGTCCTCTTGATGGCGCTGGGAGGAGCAGATGTGACGAGAGGCTTAGCGGCTTTTAGGGCCCCCGGGGGACACAGTCCATTTTCGTACTGGTTTAAAATGGGTGACAAAGTTACTATCCAGGCTTTGACTGCTTAGTTTCATGCGTAGTTCATAAAGCATACACACACACACAATCCAGTCTTATTGTAAAAGTTAACTTCTCAGGGATGTGTTACGAATGTGGGCTCTTTAGCTTGGAGCTCTTTAGCTTGGGGCTCTTTAGCTTGGAGAAACGACGGCTGAGGGGTGACATGATCGAGGTTTCTAAGCTTATGCATGGGGCAGAGCAGGTAGAGAAAGAGGTACTTTTCTCCCTTTCTCACAATACAAGAATTCGTGGGCACTCCATGAATTGCTGAGCGGTCGGGTTAGAACGGATAAAAAGAAGTCCTTCTTCACCCAAAGAGTGATTAACACATGGAATTCACTGCCACAGGAAGTGGTGGCGGCTACAAGCATGGACGGCTTCAAGAGGGAATTAGATAAGCATATGGAGCAGAGGTCCATCAGTGGCTATTAGCCACAAGGAATAAATAGGGACTCCTGGGCAAGTGATGCTCTGTCTTCTTGGTGCTGGGGGGGGGCAACAGTGGGAGGGCTCCTAGTGTCCTGGCCCCACTGCTGGACCTCCTGATGGCACCTGGTATTTTTGGCCACTGTGTAACAGAGTGTTGGACTGGATGGGCCATTGGCCCGATCCAACACTGGCTTCTCTTACGTTCTTAATGCCACCTCCATGTCTCTGCATGAATCACTGTTACGCTCCCAAGGAGTGACGCTCCAGACAGAGGTGCAGGGAACAGTGTCTCCTGAGGGCAGATCTCTGGGAATGATCCAATCAGACCTGATTTATTGATACAGTGCCTTTAGTGGAAACCAGTCCAGAACAGTACATCATGCAGAGATGCAGTGGAGGGCCTCCTCTGTGGCCCCATCATTTATCAGAGGCTTTGGGGAAAGTGCCTTTGCTTCACCTGACCTTAACGAGGTAACCTTCTCCCCTCTGCAGAAGCCAGCCCTGGAGACGGTGCGCAGCTCGTTGCGCCTCCTCAACGCGAGTGCGTACCGGCTGCAGAGCGAGTGCCGCAAAACTGTGCCCCCCGAGCCTGGGGCCCCCGTGGACTACCAGCTCTTGACGCAGCAGGTCATCCAGTGTGCCTACGACATTGCCAAGGCAGCCAAGCAACTGGTCACCATCACAACCCGCGAGAAGAAGCAGTGAAGGGGGGGGGGGCTTCCCTTCCTCGGCCCTGCAGCCGCCTGCATCATTTGCCAACCCAACCCAGGCGAAAGGTTGGAAACTTTGCACCCCGGGACTGTAAATAACCGGGGGAGTGGACTTGGGGCCCCCAGGGAGGACAGGGTGGTGTTGGTGGTGGGCCCTGTGCAGTGAGGAAGCTGTCCTGTAAATACTCCAACCCACCCCCCACACCCTTAGTGGAGCCTCCCTGGGGGAATCAATACCTGATCCCCGCCTGCTCCTTTCCCCCCTAGTCCCCCCCCTTATGTATAGTGCGTAGAACCGTATGTGTCTCCTCCTCTCCCCCGTCCCCTGTGCGTATGCACGCATATTTTATATCTATAAAATATGTGAGTGTGTATATAGATCTCTTGCTATAGGAACAGCCAACTGTATTTATCTCATGGAAACCCCCCACCCCCAAATAGTGTTAACACTGGAATAGCAACGCCCGGGTGCTGCAGCGATTGGCTGAGCCCCCCCCCCCCCCC